CAACAAATGTTAACTGCTTCAGTCAAGAGGAATGAAACAGACCTTTTAACACTGCTTTTGAAACGGTAGTAGTTCTAAAATCAAAACAAGATAGAGATGGATACTGAGCAGTATGGCCCCAGCATATTGCCTGCCCCACCCCCATTGTATCAGTCTCTTGTATGTCCCTCCAGACTTTCTTGAGTGGATTCTAACTGGTACAACACAAGAAGCCGAGCAGAACCGCCCCGTAGGGTTTCAGAGGCTGTACTCTGTGGACGTACACAGCCCCATCTTTCTCCTGCAGAGTCACTGGTAGGTTTGAACCACCAGCCTTTCAGTTAACAGCTGAGAGCTTAATCACTGCAACACCAAGACTTCTTATGACAAAATAGGCAAGCAAACATACCAGGGTAAGTCAAAAAGCATTGCTACAAAGTCAAAGAACTCTTTATTAAATAAAAATATCAAAATGTGAAGCTGTTGTTTCTCGATATTTCTTCCACGTAGGTCTGCACACTTCTGAAGGCAGTGTCTCCATCTCCCTAAGCCTTTCCTGGAGAATTCTGCACTCAGATTTGCACTACAGCAAAAGCTGAGGCATCCTCAAGGGGCTCCAATCGCATTTATTTTCAATGTTCTTTGAGTTTTGAGAACAAAAAAGTCTGAAGGGATCAAATCAGTGCTAGAGGATGGATGGGGGTGGGTATTAAGTTTCTCAACAAAGTGTCTTAGGATAGCCTTTGCTACTCTCAAAGAACACAGTCATGATGGGAAAAAATTTCTTCACGCAAGTTTCTTGAGCTTTTTCTCACCCACCAGTGCAGTTTTCAATTTGTTTAAAACTTTTTCCTAATAAATGCCTGCAATCATCCTGTGTCCTTTGAGAAAAACCTATCAAGATTACCCCTCTGGAATACCCAGAAACTCGTCATAACCTTCTGAGCTGCCCTCTCTGCCTAGCACATCCCCACTGGAAGGGAGTTTTGATTGGACCTCTTTTTAGAAGGCATCCTAAGGAGACAAGACAAGTGCATTATTGAGAGAACTTGTCTGCAGCCATCAGTTGATCCACAGAGGCATGTTTAAACATGTTTCGTTTGGAATAAACCAATGCATGTATGAACTGAAACCCCAGGAGCGATGCTTGTTGGCTCTCATAGTATTGTGGCAAAGACCCTTTTCAGCTTGAGGACTAGGGTGCGCCTGACCCAGGCCATTGTGTTTTCAATAGCCTCATATGGATGCGAGAGCTGGACAGTGAATAAGGGGGATCGTAGAAGAATTGATGCCTTTGAGTTGTGGTGTTGGAGGAGAATACTGAGGGTGCCATGGACTGCCAAGAGAACCAATAGATCTGTTTTGGAAGAAGTGCAGCCAGGGTGCTCCTTGGAGGCCAGGATGGCTAAGCTTCGTCTCTCCTACTTTGGACATGTAGTCCGGAGGAAACAATCGTTGGAGAAGGATGTCATGCTGGGTAGGGTTGAGGGTCAGAGAAAAAGAGGAAGACCTCCAACGAGATGGATCGGCCAGGTGGCATCATTGATGGACTCGGGGGTGGCAGCGGTGGTGAGGTTGGCCCAGGATCGAGCATTGTTTCGTTCTGCTGTGCATGGGGTCGCTATGAGTCGGTTCCGACTCGATGGCACCTGACAACAACAACAACAACAATTAGAGAAAGATGCTAGTGAGCAGTGAGCAGGGGAGAGGGCAGAAATCGCTTCCCAGTGTCTAGGAAGGAAGTGGGGAGGGGGACTTCTTTGTTGATACTGGTGTCCCACACACAGGACCAATAGGGAGTCAGCATCTCTTTTGCCCTGGCTTCTTCAGTCCTGGGGATCATTGGCCATGTTTCACTGGTGAGAAGACCCACAGACTGCAAAAGTGAGTAACTTGCCCATGTCATACAGCTGAGAGTGGCAGTGTCAGGGATGGTGGATGAAGAGGCAGCCAAAGAAACAGGGAGGTAGAACTGGAGAGATTGAAGAATCAGAGAAAGCTCTCTTTCCTGATGTAAAGATCAAAGATTGGGTGGGGAGGTAGAAACTCCTGCTTTGAGGAGGAAAAGTAAAAACATGAAGTGGAGGCAGGGGATAGAATAGACAAGACTGAGAAGACAGTTGGATGTGCAATAGTCACAGGGAATGGGAGAGAGTAAAATTATTACAGGACAGCAAAGCAATGGCAGCTCTGAGGCACTCTGCAAACAATGAGAAATTCCAGGAAGGAAATTCTTCATGTTTCCAGAATTGTACTTGTCTTCCCCCGAAAAACCAGTGATGAATGAGATCATGAGAAGGAGGTGAAAGAAGACATCGGTGACAAGTTCAGGTAACAGATGGCCTTTTCTGATGGCTGAACTCTGACAGCTAATTCTTGAGTCCAGATAAGAGATGGGGAAAAGATAATGGAATGAGGACATTGAGGAAGTCCTAAAGGTTCAGTTCGGAGGAAAACACAGTGCAGTATTACAACTTAATGCTGCATTGTGGTTTTTGTGGACCTTATTTCTCTTGCTGGACTAGGCTTTTTTGGAAAAGATCCATATTCACTCATTCATTCATTTAACAGACCTTGAACTTTCTTTGCCATGTGCCAGGGACACAACTCTGTGTGAGACAGACATGTTCCTCACCCACACCAAGTTTGCCATTAATGAGAAAGGCAAAAGACAGTGAACTGTCTTTCAAGTAAAGAGAGGGGCCTGTAGGAAGCCAGGAAGTCATTGGTCATTGAAGAAGGCCCAGAGGGTGGGAGAGTACTGCCGGTAAATCATAAGTGAAAGCAGGAATGAAAAGGGACAGGAAAAGAAGCTACTGTCATTAAAGAGATCATGAAGTCTTGAGATCCTATCAGCAGCTTTTCCTGACCCTGAAGGACTCTAGTCATTGTGTCAAGGGAGTTCACCCCAGGGAACAAACTGGGAATTCCAAGTGGAATTGCCCTGGGCAATCTCATTTTAGAGTCAAGTCAAAGCAGCATAGACCCTGCTTCTGTAATGGAAAGGGTGCATTTGGAGCTAAGAACCAGATGTCTGGTACCTACTGGCCTACAGTTCAATTCTAGCTCCCCTTTGAGCGACTTGTAGACATTACTCAATCTGCCACTACCTTTGTTTCGTCATTCACAAAATGGGGATGATCATCCTGGCTCATGAACTCTTACTCTGCATGGGAGTCCTGGTGTATAAAGGATAAGGATGAATGCTGGACAGCTAACCACAAAGTCGGCAGTTCAAACCCACCGGTCACTCCTCAGGAGCTCTGGTAGTGTAGAGGTTACGAATTGGGCTGCAAACCACAAGATCAGCAGTTCGAAACTACCAGCTGTTCCATGGGAGAAAGATGAGGCTTTCTGTTCCTGTAAAGATTTACAGCATCGGAAACGGTGTACAGCGTCACTATGAGTCGGAACTGACTCCACGGCACACAACCACCACCGATATCAGTCACTCCTCAGAAACCCTATACAGGATTGCTATGAACCGTAATTGACTTGATGACACTTTACAATAACAACAAACTGCATTGTTCCAAGGACTTTACTTGTATTACCTCATTTACCAAAACCTGTCTTAGACTGAATTTTGTCACCCCAAAATATGGGTACTTGGTTGGGCCATGATTCTCAGGGGTTGGCAGTTATGTAATGATGTGATGTGGCAGTTGTGTAAAGATTCTCCAGGATGTGATCTGAGGTGATAAATCAAATCAATATGAGGCATAAGGGTGGGCTGTAATCATCTAAATCCATCTCAACCCTGGCTTGATGTAAGGGAGTGGCCTGCAACCTTTTTTATCTTCCGAAGATAAAAGGAGAGAGCAGTTAACAGAGAAAGAAGGACCTATAACCACTAAGAAAAAAGAGCCAGGAATGGAATGAGTCCTTTGAACCTAGGATTCCTGCATTGTGAAGCCGGGTGCAGATTGATGCCAAGATATATGGAGCTTGCCAAGGAATGCCAAGCCTACAAATCCTAAAAAGACATTAGGACCTTTCCCCAGAGCTGACAAAGAAAGTCCTGGTATGGTGCTGTAGGATAAGCACATGACTGCTACCCACAAGGTTGGTAGTTCAAATCTTGGAAACCCTATACAGGGTGAGTCAGAACTGACTTCAAGGCACTTAACAACACCAGTGAGAAAGGAGAGGTGTTTGCAGACCCAAGGATAGCTTTCACCAAGCCACAGGCGATTGACTGCATGGTGTGTGCTGGGAACGAAGACCTAATAGCCAGGAGCGCAGATGCGGAAGTCTCAGGCATCTGCGTCTGTGGTTTGAATGGCACTTGGAAGCAATTGTTGGAATTGTTTCCGCAGTTTAGTGCTAAATAACCTCGATTTCCTTGGGCATCTACCTTTCTCCCCAAAACTGTGCGTGGTGTAGTGGCGGTAGGACGGGTGACAGTAACAAATAACAGCAAATGCATAGAGGGATTTCTAGCTTTACACGTATGAACTCACTGGTTACCACAATCATCTAAAGAGACAGGATTTACTGTGCTTTTCTCCGATGGGGAAAGAGGCGCAGAACCGTTAAGACGTTTATTAAGCGCTATCATCCTGGTGTAGCTCTGTGGATCAGCACTGGACTGCGAACGACAAGGTCGGCAGTTCAAACCCACCAGCAGTTCCTTGGAAACCCTATACAGGGTCTCTATGAGTAGGAACAACTCAACGGCACCGAACAATTTAACAATCATCCTAGTGGCGCTGTAGGATCAGCACTAGACTGCTAACCACTAGGTTAGTCCTTCCGTGGGAGAAACATGAGGCTTTCTGCTCCCATACAGAGTTGCTACGAGTCAATACCGACTCCACCACACTACACAACTACTGGTTTCTTGCAAACGCCGCGAGAAACAACCTTCAGCCAACAACTTTTGACACCCTCGCGACTCAAGCACAATATAATCCCTAGGCGGTAAGAAAGCGGGACTAAATAAAGGAAGTTCCGCCCCGCCGGCCTCTAGCTTCCGCTTCCGCTCGCCGTGTGCTTGCCAGCGGGGTCGCATGTTCGTGATGGCGGCGGCCGGTGACCGTAGCGTGCAGCCGGAGGCTGGTGGGCCTGACAGCTACCGCTCGCCGCTGGCCTCCCGCTACGCCAGCCCGGAGATGTGCTTTGTGTTCAGCGACAGGTACAAATTCCGGACGTGGCGGCAGCTCTGGCTGTGGCTGGCGGAGGCGGAGCAGGTAACGGGCCCGGGGCTGCGGGCGGGGCCGGGCTGGGAGAGAAGGGCCAGGCGACCCGCCCCCCACGTGCCGCGCCCGGGTCCACGGGGCCTGGGTCGCCTGGGCGGCCGTGCGCGGCTATTTTCGGCCGGCGGTCCCAGGAAGGCGAGGCAGGAAGCCCGGAGCTGTCACCTGCTGCCTCACATGGTTTTTGTCCCCGAGGGTTAGCGACGCCGAGGAGGCGGCGAGCAATGGGATCTGTGGTTTCAGGGGCTTCATTCCGGCCATTCCTGCAGGAGAGGACCGCTCCCCACAGACACAGCGCTAGTTCCTGTGCCGCTCCGAGGGGAGAACACCTAAGCGGGAGAGCGCCGTGTTTGCCGGGCGTTTCAGTTCTTAAGAGTTGAGCTGGGATTTGAACCCAAATTCAATCCAGAGTCCGAACACTTACCCGTTTCTTACCACAGTGGTTCAGTATATATATAGTTAGTCCCAGGATTGGGATTCGAGTTTTCTGGGATCTGTAGGATAAGCATTGGATCACAAGGTCAGAGATTTGAGCCCACCAGCCGCTTCCCGAAAGAACGATGAGGCTTTCTGCTCCCTATAAGATTTAAAGGCCAGAAACCGTATGCATGTTAACAACAGCAGCGAGTGGAAACCCCTGAGTGAAAGGAGCTTGGGTGGCGCGGTTAGCCCTGGGTTAGGCAGGTGGACTGTTCATGAAAGGATGGCAGTTCGAATCCTCCATCGTCTACACAGGAGGAAGTCGGGGCTTTTTGCTTCTATAAAGTTTTACAGTGTCTGTAACCCTATGTGGATCGCTGAGTCAAAATTCACTAGACAGATGTGGGTTTATACAAGCGGCTCAGTGCCATTTCAGAAATAACTCCAGAGGGCCCTTCCCAGAACAAGAGTGGAAGGTCATCCAGGGAGCTATAATGTTTCTTTAGCTGCAGGGGAAAATGCCACAGTCAAGTTGGTAAGGTCCTTGCAAATGTCATGGTAATAAGTGAAACAGTCTGAATCCATCCCTATGACCTTGGTACATTTCAGTTGCTGTTAAGTGCTGTCAAGTCAGTTACAACTCATAGTGACCATGTGTATAGGTTTTACAAGGAGCAGCTGGTGAGTTTGAACCCCCAACCTTGGGATACAAATACACCTTGTGGTCCAGTGCTTTAATCCCACAGCCCCACACCAGGATAATCAGTGGAATGTTTCAAACAAGAAACTTCCACCCTAGGGAGGACACATCTCTCAGGAGGAGGTGGTGACAGTATAAAAAAATCTAAGCAAAAGTTTTAAATGCAAAAAGGAATCACAGTTACCCAAATATCCTAATCATAGAGGGGGGGAGGTTACAGTTACTCACACACAACCCAGAACTTGTAATTCTGCAAAGGAAATGTATAGCTAAGCTGTCCCTTGATTTATACAAGCTGGAAGAATAAATTCCAATAGTGGGAGGCAAAAAAAAAAAAAAAAGAAAGAAAGAAAGAAACTTCCACCCTAGATCTCCCCCTCTGCCCCCTGGTCACTGCTCTCAAGAAAATCAGATGGATCAACACTGGACTGTGAACCACAGGTCCACAGTTCAAACCCATCAACTGCTTTTTGAAAACCCTATGCTATACAGGCTTGAGTCTGAACTGACTCGACAGCACTAACAACATATAGTGCCTGATGTGTGCCCACATGGTTTTAAGTCATGAGCGGTGTTAGCTCATTCATTCTCAAAACAGCCTCTGCATAATAAGTACTATTGTGATCCTGTTTCAGATGGGAGAATGGATGCCCAGGTAACAGAAGAAGGTAATATAAGAGGATATTAGTCTGTTCTTGTTAGGTGCCATCCAGTTGGTACCAGTTCATAGCGATCTTATGCACAAAAGAATGAAACGTTGCCTAGTACTGCATCCACCTTGCAATCATTGCTATGCTTGAACCCATTGCTGCTGCCACTAGGCCAATTCATCTTGTTGAGTGTCTTTCTCTTTTTGTTGACCCTGCACTTTACCTCATAATATGTGCAAAGTATGAAAGACAAACCTGGCTATTGGCTATCCTGGCTTCTAAGGAGCATTCTGGTTGTGTTTATTCCAACACAGATTTGTTTGTTCTTTAGGAATTCATGTTGCTCTCAATAATCTCAAACACCATAACCCAAATGCACCAGTTCTTCTGTGGTCTTCTTTATTCATTGCCCAATTTTCACATGCATGTGAGGGTATTTAAACTGCTATTTGGGTTAGCTGCACCTTAGTCCTCAAACTGACATCTTTGCTCTTGAACGCCTAAAAGAGGTCTTGTGCAGCAGATTTGCCTAATGAAATAAGTCAATTGATCTCTTGACTGCTGTGTCCATTCGTGTTGATGGTTGATATGAGCAAAATGAATCGACAACTTGAATCTTTTCTCCATTTATCTTGATGTTATTTATTGGTCCATTGGTGAGGATTTTTGTTTTCTTTATAACTAGGTACAACCCATACCAAAGGCTGAGGTCTTTGATCTTCATCAGTAAGTATTTTAAATCCTCTTCGCTGTCAGCAAGCAAAGTTGTATCATCTGCATATCGCAGGTGTTTCCAGTCTCCTCCAGTCTTGATGCCACGCTCTTCATAGAATCCAGCTTCTCAAGTTATGTGCTCAGCATACAGCTTGAATAAATATGGTGAAAAATACAACCCTGGTGCACACCTTTCCTAATTTTAAACCATTCAGTGTTCCCTTGTTCTGTTCAAACAACTGCCTCTTAGTCTGTGTATAGGTTCCTCATCAGCACAATTGAGTGTTCTGGAATACTCATTTGCCACAATGTTGTCCATAGCTTGTTATGATGCACACAATCAAAAGCCTTTGTGTACTCAGTAAAACACACATAGACATCTTTCTGGTATCCTCTGCTTTCAGCCAAGATCCATCTGAACATCCTCGTTCCATGTTCTTTTCTCATTTCTGGCTTGAACCTCTGGCAGTTCTCTGTCAATGTACTGTTAAAATCGTTTTTGAATTATCTTTAGCAAAATTTTACTTGCATGTGATTTTAATGATATAGTCGGATTATTTCTGCATTCCTTTGGGTCACCTTTTTTTGGAATGGACACAAATAGGATCTCTTCCAATCAGTTGGCCAGGTGGCTGTCTTCCAAATTTCTTGGCATAGATGTGAGAGTGCCTCCAGTGCTGCATCAGTTTGTTGAAAGGTTTCAATTTTATATTCCATCAATTTCCGGAGCCTTGTTCTTTGCCAATTCCTTCAATGCACCATGGACTTCTTCCTTCAGGATCACTGGCTCTTGATCACATGCTACCTCTTGAAATGGTTGAACATCAATCATTTCTTTTTGGTACAGTGACTCTGTGTATTCCTTCCATCTTCCTTTGATGCTTTTTGCATCATTCAGTATTTTGCCCAGAGAATTCCTTCACTATTTCAAGTTAAGACTTGAATTTTTTCTTCATTTCCCTCAACTTGAGAAACGCTGAGCGTGTTCTTCCCTTTTGGTTTTCTAACTCCAGATCTTTGCACGTTTCATTATAATATTTAACTTGGTCTTCTGGAGTTACCCTTTGAAATTTTCTGCTCAGCTCTTTTACCGCCTCATTTCTTCCATTTGGGTGGACTTGAATTCCAGCTTTGCAGTTAGCAGCTGAGTGCATTAACTATTTGCTAGGGTGTCAAAATTAGTTGAATAATATTAACATAATAAAATCATAGTTAAAGAATTTGGGGAGGATGAAAGAGTAGAAGGGTATGAGGAGTGAGGGTAGGACGCTATGTAGCTTCTTGTGGTTCAGTGCCTTTGAATCGGTTCCAATTCGTCGTGACCCTGTCTAGGGTTTCCAAGGAGTGGCTAATAGGTTTGAACTGCCAACTTTGTGGTTAGCAGTCCAAAGCTTATCCTACAGTACCACACTTGGACTCTCACTTGTAGTTACTGACTTGTAAAGGTCCAAGGCAGCCCAGCCACATGTGGCCTGTGAGCACTGGAAATGTGGCTAGAATGACCGTGCCTTTAGTTAGGAAAAGTGTAACTAGCCAGGTGAACCACACTGCACGGTGCAGGTCTATTGAGCAAGCCCAGTCCCCGGGAGTCTCAAATGGGTGGAAGTGCATTATTGTTCCTGGTGTAGCGGTTCCGTGTGTGAATCCAGGGTTTGGAGCTGTGTGCTGCCAGCTGGGCTCATCGATATCACCTAGAATTGCTTGCAGTTGTTCTGAATTTGCTTGCTGGAGTTCTGGTGTGGCACTGTAGGATAAGCACTGGACTGCTAATCTCATTGTCAGTTCAAACCCACACCTGCATCTCCTCAGAAACCCCATGAAGAGTTGCTGTGAGTCGAAACCAACAGTTTTCTGGCTGGCAACATGACTTACAGAATTCCTTAACTGGATCAAATGCAAAGTTGTGGCCTGGTGCCCAGGTGCCCAGGCTTTGGCTGCTTGTGTGCTTGGCCATAAATAAAACTTAGGTGTTATGCAGCTATGGTAGGGGGGAGGGACAGACACCAAAAAGTTTGTGGAAAAGTTCAATGAAAAGATAATGGACTTGACTTTTCCCTTACTAAGTGGATTCTCACTCATGGCCCCCCTTGTGTTGTAGAGTAGAACTGCTCCAAAGGGTTCCGCTGGGGGTACAGTGCTTTGCTGCTAACCATAAAGATTGGCAGTGCAAACCCACCACCCACTCCATGGGAGAAAGATGTAGTTGTCTGTGTCTGTAAAGAGTCACAGCCTTGGAAACCTCCTGAGGCAGTTCTGCTCTGTCCTGGAGGTTCGCTATGAGTCAGAACCTAGTAGGCTGCAGTGGGTCTTGGTTTGGGTTTTAGTCGTCACAGAAACCGATCAGTAGACCTATTGTCCAGGCTACTGCTGGGTGGGTTCAGAGTCAACCTGACATTAGCGGTTCTGTGAGCCATTTTCACATGCGCAGAGTGCTCCAAATAAAAGCCAGGTGAAGGGCTGGAATGACCCAGAACAAAAGATGATGTGACCTTACATTGAAGTTGGGGAAGGCATCTCTGAAAAGATAAAATTTGATTGGAGAAACAGGAGTGCGAGTCGAGGAGAGATGGGGGTGCCAGAGGATGACATTATTGTAAGTTTAGGCGTTTACTTAGAGTCTAACTTACCTGGTTTCCCAGAGAAAGTTCCCCCTCCTTCCCTGCTTGTGTTCCTTTAGTGTCTACTGCTCCAGGTCCTTAATTTGGAGCAAATGACTGATACCTGGAACCAGTGTGTTCTGTGTCACTTCAGTTCAAAGAATGGTAATGCCCGAGGTTGCTTGATTTTCTGTTGACTGCTTTCCAGACGTTGGGTTTGCCTATCACAGACGAGCAAATCCAGGAGATGAAGTCGAACCTGGACAATATCGACTTCAAGATGGCAGCTGAGGAAGAGAAGCGATTGCGACACGATGTGATGGCTCACGTGCACACCTTCGGCCACTGCTGCCCCAAAGCCGCCGGCATTATCCACCTGGGTGCCACCTCCTGCTATGTTGGAGACAATACAGTACGAGCTGTTGAATGGTTCCACCCAGGACTCTCGCTTTATAGCAAATGGATTAAGTTGATTTGATTTTGTTCAGTGTTGGGAAGCGCCTCATTATCATTAGATCTTTAGTGCTAAGGGCTTCTGAGCTGAACACACTTTTGGTACACTTCCAAGATAGTCTAACTCACTGCCATCAAGCTGACTCCAATCCATCAAAACCCTGTATAGGATTTCCGAGACTAAACCTTCACAGGAGCGGTCAGCCTCATCTTTCTTTCGGAGCAGCTGATGGGTCTGAACCACTGACCTTGTGGTTATCCGCCCCCAAACAAGCATCTATAGAGACCTGCATGTAATATGACATGCAGATACTACTGTCCATTGGTCTACTGACATATGCACAATCTGCATTTTAGTGGCTGGAGTAATTTTCCAAAGGATGTTTCCCCATAAAATTGGCTTCTGAAAAGAAAGTTGGAATGCATTACCATTGTTTAAAGCAACCTTTGTTTAAAGCCAAAGAGTCACATAGTTGAACAAGAAGAGTACCAGCAAGAGTTCCTGAGGATTTACCAGGTGCCAGGCACTCTTGTAAGAATTTACACAGTCACTTAATCTTCACAACGCTTGTATGAGATGGATACTGTTACCTTCTGTGACCATTGTTTTATGGAGGTGTAGTTTGTCCACCATAAAAATGTTTCAAGTATAGTGTTTTCATAGATTGACTAAATCCAGCCCTCACCACACTCCAGTTTTAGAACACTTCCATCACTCCAGAAAGTTCTTTTCCTGCCCATTTGCAGTTAGTCCTACTCCCTGCCTCTGACAACCATGGACCTGTTTTTCTGTCTTAGTTTCGCCTTTTCTAGACATTGAGGAGCTCTGGTCACTTAGTGAATTAGGAGCTGGGCTGCTAACTGCAAGGTTCAAATCTAACAGCTCCTCTGAGGAAGAAAGATGAGGGTTTCTAATCCCATAATGATTTGCAACCTCAGGACAGGGTTTCCGAGGCTGTAAATCTTTACGGGAGCAGAATGCCTCATCTTTCTCTCGTGGAACAGCAGGTAGTTTCGAACTGCTGACCTTGCAGTTCGCAGCCTGATTCGTAACCACTACACTACCAGAGCTCCCTGCATTTTTAGAGTAGTAATCCGAGAAGAACCATTTCTGTTAGTTTCTTCTGGTTTGCACAGGGGATTGCTAATGTGAGATAGGCCACTAGCTGAGAGATCCCATTGGGATGGTCAGAAAGATTCTACCATAAAATGGTTTGAACTAAAGCTGTTTCATATAAAATCATTGCCCTTTCCTTTGCAGGACCTGATTATTCTTAGAAACGCATTTGACCTGCTTTTGCCAAAGGTAAGGAGTTGGTGAAACTACCTACCAGCCCTAATTTCCCTGTGGTAGGAGATGGGTACCAAGTCACTGAAGTGTCATTCTGAGTAGAGCATCATTTTCTCGGCTAGATGAGTCCTGGGTCTAATCTGTAGAAATAGTTCTCTTTTTTGGGGTGAAGCCATTTAGATGAAGGAAGCGTAGCCAGAGGTACATGTGGGTCAGGGTTATGACGTAGTTCTGTTTTTTCTGAGTGAATGTTACACACCTGCAGGAATAGTTCATAACTTACTAGGTAGTCACCTCCGTGTTCAGATGTTTGCTGTGCATTCTCCCAGACATCTCAGTATACAAAGATGAGATGGTATGGCCTTGACTTTCAGTGAGCTGTAGATCTACATTTATATGGTGGTGGTTATGTGCCGTGGAGTTGGTTCCAACTCATAGTGACCCTGTACAGGGTTTCCAAGGTTGTCAGTCTTTACAGGAGCAGAAAACCTCATCTTTCTCCCGTGGAACAGCTGGTAGTTTCAAACTGCTGACCTTGCGGTTCACAGTCTGATTTCGTAACCATTACGCAACCAGAGCTCCTTTAGTTTTATATTTGTTACTAAGTACTGTGGAGTCGGTACCGACTCATAGTGACAGGGTTTCCAAGGCTGTAAATTGTCTAAAAGTTTAGTTACTGCTTATATAATAAACTCACCCAGAACTCACCCTCTTCTACCACATGGTCTTTCCCCGTAGCTTGCCAGAGTGATCTCTCGCCTTGCTGATTTCGCCAAGGAACAAGCTGATCTTCCCACCTTAGGTTTCACACATTTCCAGTAAGTGATACGGTTACTTCTTGGGAGTTGGGTTTGTTTGTGGGCCTCTTTCTTTCATTTATGCCTTCAGTTCTTCCCTCTGTGGTAACCTTTGAGGCGAAGTGCCCCCAAAGGTAATTATAACCGATAATTTAGGATCTTAGTGAAGTACTTGTAAGGAATGAACCTATAAGGAAAGCTATCTTGGTGGCAGACTACATCTGGTAGAGTGTTTGGAAAGCATCGGAAAATATAGTATCCAGACCTTAAAAAGTATTCAGACCCTTTGATTTAGTAATTCCATTCTTGAGAAGGTCATCCAAATAATGGGAAAACTCTCTGTTCCTGATCTTTGTTACAGTGTTTCTATGGTAGTAAACACTGGAAACTAAACATCCCACCATAAGAGACTACTTAAATAAGGTAAGGTAAGTGTACTGGTTGGAATATTAGGCAGCCTTTAAAATGATGCTTGTAAGACAGATAACATGGAAATGTGCAGATGCTAACGTTACAGGTAAAAACCAGCAGGTAAAAAACAGACTAGAAGGAAGTACTCCTAAGATGTTAATATCCATTGCTCTGGCTTATGAGATAAGTGGGCAGTTAAATTTTTCCCCTACTTTTTTTATTTTTTAAATGTTTGAGTATTTTTATGATTACCAAATAACCCCCGTTTTTAAAGCTGGTGGTACTCATTTTTGTATGCTTAGTGACAAGTTTGAGCGATGGTTCTGAGTAGTGTCTTAACATCTGTCTTGTGTTTTGGTGGGCCATTGCTTTGGCAACAAGAGTGTCATCTCCTAGAACTTCTGGAAGCCTGGTGAGCTTATTAATAAGGCTTCTTCCAAACTGGGACCTCTCTTGATGGGTAGCAGGAACCTGGAGCAGTTGTTTATGGGAAGGGTTGACGCTCAGCTGAATGTGGTTTGACCACAGCCAATGTTCCCGTCTATGCTGGCTTCCCTGCACACCTGGTGTCACCTGAGCTGCAATTCCTCTTTCCTCACAGTGTCAGCATGGGCTCAGGAGATGTGCTCAGCCTGGTGTGAGTCTAGGGAGAGCCACACAATCGTGGTAACCGGCTGCTGCAGTTAGCAGACCCTGGGAGCTCAGAAAATGCTGGTGGTGTCAGGCATCACTCTGTGTGAGTCTGTGCCATTTTTTTATTAATAGCTGCTTTGTTGAGGAATGAGTCATGTATCAGAAGTTAAGTCCTCTTAAAGTGGTTTTGATGCTTGTCAGCTATCATTTGGAGAAAGTCTTCTAGCACTTCTTTTATCTGCTGGTCTCTCTACCTCTCACTGTAGTGGTTCCCCTTCTCAGGGGCTGCTGGTGACTAGGAGCAGCCATGATGCTTATATGAAGTAAGACCTTGGCTTGAGACTTCTGTGGGTTCTCTCTGGGTTGTTTTCAGGCCTGCTCAGCTGACCACAGTTGGGAAACGTTGCTGTCTTTGGATTCAGGATCTCTGCATGGACCTTCAGAATTTGAAGCGTGTCCAAGATGACCTGCGCTTCCGAGGAGTGAAGGGCACCACCGGCACACAGGCCAGCTTCCTGCAGCTCTTTGAGGGAGACCACCAAAAGGTGTGCTGAAGGCAACATGGCTGGGAGCATGGGGCAGGGTCTTTGCACTGGAAGGAGAGACTTGGGCGAGACGACACTACATGTTTCTGTACTAGACACACCTAGATTTCTATAGGGATGTGTCTTTTCTCTTCAAGGTTGAGCAGCTCGACAAGATGGTGACTGAAAAGGCAGGATTCAAGAGGTAGGGAAGTGAGAGAAACGTGATCGCCCTGTTAAGTTGATGAAAAGTTTGTCCTTGGTGTTCCTCTAGACTTGACTTTCACTTTTTGTCTGTTTTTTTCCTTTGTTCTACCCATTTCTTTCCATCTCTGGCCTGAGTTTTCTAAAGTCTCGATTCTATTGTAATTTAAAAGGAAAGCCATTCACTTCCAAGTTTATCTAGTAGCTGTAGTGAGAGTTTATGGGTTTGTGTGAAATCTGACCTGAAAATTTCCTGAGGGCCTGCAGGCTCCACGAAGGCTCGCTCTAGATTCTTCGATTGGACTGTGGCAGGACGTGGTGCGCTGGGCTGTGCTGCCCCCTTGGGTCAGATCAGTAGTCACAAGGGTGGAAGGACGAGCTCCCACTCGGGTCCTCTGGACTCAGGGAAACTTGGCATGCCGGTTAGACCAAGTGGAGTCATGCTTGGAAATACTGTAACATCAGCTTCTTTTCTCTTTCTTCCTAGGGCGTTCCTCATCACAGGGCAGACATATACACGGAAAGTAGATATTGAGGTGCTGTCTGTGCTGGCTAGCTTGGGGGCATCTGTGCACAAGGTGAGCGGTGTGGCTCTGCGGCACCACAGGTAGATCCAGTTAGCCGCAGACTTCTGCTTCGTTGTGTTTCTCTGGTGTCACCCATCAGTTTTTAGCAACTAGTAGCATATCAGTAAGGGACCCTAATGACGCTGGTCCCTCCCCCAGCTGTCCCTGTAAGAGTGTGTTATGATGGCTGTTCCCCTGCCTTCCTCAGATCTGCACTGACATACGCCTCCTGGCAAGCCTCAAGGAGCTGGAGGAACCCTTTGAAAAGCAGCAGATCGGTGAGTGTCTGTCTGGTGGGTGCTCCAGAGGCTTGGGGGTTGGCCCAGGCACGTGCTCTCTGTCCTCTGACTTCTTGCTGCCTTGCCCCTCCTCCTTTCCTCGGCAGGGTCCAGTGCGATGGCGTACAAGCGGAACCCCATGCGCTCAGAGCGCTGCTGCAGCCTGGCCCGCCACCTGATGACTCTCATTCTGGACCCACTGCAGACAGCGTCTGTGCAGTGGTTTGAACGCACGCTGGATGATAGTGCCAACCGGTCAGTCATCACAGCCAAGCAGCTGGGGGAGTCTGGGAGGAGGAGGACGAGTGCGCTTTGACTGGTGTGTACAAGGCACAGTGAGCATGGTGAGGAGGGGGCAGTGTTGCAGGAGTTCGAGGCCATACTTTGTGGAATGACACATTTGGACCCACATGTAAGGCAGAAGATTACACAGTCAGAGGAGTTAGTGATCACGAGTGCTGGAGAGAGAGATCGTGAGTAGGGGCCAGCGTATGAGAGGCCAGGCAGGCCCTGGAAGGGAGTGGTTTATTCTGAGGGCAGGGAATGTCAGCTGTCACATCTGGGCTCAGTGACAGCTTGATGAGATGGGTTAGAGATCATTTGAAGAGGAAGGATGTGGTAGACTGGCCGGCCAGGGTGGCTGAGAAGAGTAAGGATAAGGAAGTAGGTCCCTGGGTGCTAGTGCCATTAACTGAGGCCAGAGATGCAGGGAAAGAGGAAAATCCAGCTGCACATGGCGAGGAGGGGGCAAGGGAGACGTGGCTGAATGCCGTGCTGTCTAGGTTTGAGCTACAGGTCAACCTGGTGGAGCTGTCCAGCAGATAAGAGGTCTGGCACTTGGGCCTATGTCTGGGCTGGAGGTGATAGGTCTGAAGGCCTTCAGGATGTGGGGTGGTCATTGTCCAAGCAGAAGTCAAGAGGACTTGGGGCAACTTCTTGGGACACACCCTGCATTTCTCTAAAATTTGAATTTGCATAAAAAGATACCTGAGTTGGCTGTTTGTTTTAGACGCATCTGTTTGGCTGAGGCATTTCTTACGGCAGATACTATACTGAACACGCTGCAGAACGTCTCTGAAGGGTTGGTGGTGTACCCCAAAGTAAGAGGCAGAGGATTAAGGAGGGGCTGGAATGTGGGAAGGAATGTGGTCCTGTCCTGCTCTGGGGTGAGGTGTTGGGGGTCTGACAGTGCATTCTGGTCTAGTAGTTCTTCCTAGCTGGAACTCGTCCTTTACGGGAGTCACACACACATTTATAGAAAAGAGAAAAAAAGAAAGACTTTAAATTGGCCTCAAGTAGCACCAAGAATCAGCGGGTGTGACTCAGCCAAGTAAAAAACAGCATTTGGCTGATTTTAAGTCCCTGTGGCAGATGGGTTAATGGTGCTGGCTTCTTGAGCCATGTATGTATGGTTTTAGGAATTATTCTTATAAGGCAACTTTTAATAATTTACTCAGGCCAATCGACTTGTCGTTTTCCCCTCAGTCAGAATAATACTCTGAGTTAATAAGAAAACTGAGAAGTGTGATGTAGAATAAAGTCACCCTTTGGTCTCTCCGTAATACCATAGTACTGTTTCGTCTCTGCATTCTGTTTGACATAGTTGTCACCCTCCTGTTCTGATTGTCTAGGTAATTGAACGGCGCATTCGACAGGAGTTGCCTTTCATGGCCACAGAGAACATCATCATGGCCATGGTGAAGGCGGGAGGCAGCCGCCAGGTTCGTAGCCCCTCGTGCGCCTGGATAAATTAATTGCATCTTTGTCCTGCACACTCCTCCCTCTGAGGAGGAATGGTTGAAGGAAGGCGTTTCAGTTATAACCTCCCATCACAGGATTGGTCCAGAACAGTGATCGTACTCTACCCTAGATGGGGGTGGGTTATTGGAAGTGGACTACTGAGTCACTTAGTACGGAATTCCCTCCATGGGCGTGAGCAGGAAATGGAGCTGATGTGTGTGTGGCTTACAAGAGGAGGAGTCAGGGAGGTGGGCAGCCGGGTCAGAGCTGTCCTAAGATGGCTTCCTAGTGGAGACCTGGCCATCCTAGTGGAGACCTGGCCGAGTAAGGGTGGGTGGAGAGCTGTGTGGACAGCCTGGACTTCTCGAGAGCTTGCAGGTGCCCTCTGTGGGCAGCACGCTGGCACTGCTTCCCTTGCCACCGCCACAGGATTGCCATGAGAAGGTCAGAGTGCTCTCCCAGCAAGCAGCTGCTGTGGTCAAGCAGGAAGGGGGCGACAATGACCTCATCGAGCGTATCCGGGCCGATGCCTACTTCAGTCCTGTCCACTCCCAGCTGGACCGTTTGTTGGATCCTTCTTCCTTCACTGGATGTGCATCCCAGCAGGTGAGCATCGGTCAGGACACGTTCACGACTCCCCCCAAATGCTTGCTCATCCTCACACGGCATTATAGGGCGGCAGGACCTGGAATCCTGTTTCTGCCTCTTGGGAGGAGGAGGTGCGGGTAGGTTAGAGTGAATTCTGAGCAGGGCACTAGCGGAAGGTATGGGTTTGGCTGCTGTGAGCTGCCCCAAGTATTTCACTATGTGATCTCTGATGTCTCTTTGGGTCTAGAGGGAAGCTATGGGGTTCTGCTGGACCAAGATTCCATTTTACTATCTGGTGAGCTAGGCTCCATCCTGACGTCTGGTGCTTACTGGCTGACAGAATAAAACTATGTATCTCTTAGAGATTTTGAGAACTGAATGAAAGGTCTAGTAGATAGTATGGGGAGCAGTTAGGAGTGCCTGGCCTAGCGCCTGGTGCATACTGTTTCTCAGCAAATGGCATTCGTCCATGTGGCCTTTTGGAGAAGAGCGTGTAGTCAGAAAACATTTTGTGTATTGTTTCATCAATTCCAATTTATGTATAGGACAGTGGAGTCCTGGTGTGGCACTGTAGGGTAAACACTGGACTACTAACCACAAGGTAGGTTGTTCAAACCTACCAGCCGCTCCTCAGAAACCTATTCAGGGTTGCTGTGAGTTGGAACAGACTTGACTTGATGGCACTTAACAACTACAGCATAGGACAGTTGTTATGTGTTGTGGAATCGGTTCCCACTCATAGTGACCCTATACAGGGTTTCCAAGGCTGTAAATCTTTTTTTCTTTTTAAAATGTTTTATTGTGAATTATGTGATAGTTTACATGGGAGAACATTAGCTTTACATTCATCCTATGGTATATTCATTGTCGTGGTTACAATCCCCTTCATGCATCATCACCCAACCACAGGGTATTACAACACTGCAAGCCTGTCCCCTGGTTGTCAGCACACAGCCCCTCTCCCTTTCTGTGTCTAAAGTCCCCAGCTGCTCCATCTCTCCACATCATCGTCTCTGCCTCCATCTCAGGCATCACTGCTTCTTTGGGTAGGGTCCCGCTCTCTGCTCTTCTCCATTGATGGTCCCAGGGACCTCCACTCCTAGACTGAAAAATTAATCACTCCCCACCTTGCTATAAAATGTCTACCTGTACATTTCCAACCCTTACAATCAGTCCTGATAACAGTTATTCACTATTGTATCGCAAGAGACCTGTCTGCATTTCATTTCATCAGTTCCGCTTAGACAGATTGGATACTACTCAGTGGAGACTCTACCTTCCTCCACACCCTTTGGATCTAGGTTCCCCCTTGAAAGCTTGTAGGCCAGTCACTTCTTGCTGAGGCTATAAATCTTTACGGGAGCAGAAAGCCTCATCTTTCTCCCACGGAACAGCTGGTAGTTTCGAACTGCTTACTGTGAGATTAGCAGCCCGATTCGTAACCACTATGCTACCAGAGGATAGTAGAACTGCCCATACAGTTTGCTAGACTGTAATCTTCGTGGAGGAGTCCTGCTGTGGCGCTGTAGGATAAGCACTGGACTGCAAGTTTGGAAGTGCAAATGTACCAATCACTCCTCAGATACCCCATACAGAGTTCTGTGATTTGGAACAGGCTCAGTGGCACTTGACAACAACAACAGTGTTTATGACAGCAAATTGCCATATCCTTCTCCTGTGAAGCCCTGGTGGGTTCGAACTGCCGACCTTTCAGATAGCCAAGCACTCAACCACTGTGCCACCGGGTCTCCTTCAGAATACATTTACTGTGTACACAGTATGTGCTCAGGCCTTAGGATTAATTCTGGGTATTTAAAGGTAAGTAGTTAAACAGTGTCTTCTAGTACTGGGAACTTGGTGGTGAAGCCTTCCAAATAGTCATTGATAATAACATGCAGGAATTGAGGGGAATAACATATTTGAGGATCACAAAGGAGAAGGTATGACCCCGTTGAGGTGGGAAAGTTAGGGAAGACTTCTTGGAGGAGCTGGATCTTTGTGACAAATAGGAGTGTCCTGGGAACATGCCAGCCGAGGGAAGGTGGCAGGTACACCATCTAGCCTGGGAGAGAAGTTCCAGTCAGTTGGTGTTGGAATTGTAGAAAGTGCCTCAGAGGTAAGGCCAGGATTTGAAGCTGATGAGAGACAGGAGCGTGTGATAGATGGTCATTATGTTGAAATGACGGTGCTGGTGTGTGTGAGCTGGATTTGAGTTGCACGAGTGGGGAGCCTGCCGCAGAAGGCCACGCAGTAGGTGAGGGTTTTCCACTGAGAAAGTGGTGGTGGATGGAGATGACGGGAGAGAGCAGGAATATTTACGTTAATCACTAGGTACTCGGCTAAATGAGGGAGAAGCAGTGAAGCAGTTCACATGGGTGGGTGGGTGGAGACTGGTGAGACCACCTGAGAGGACGCAGGCTGGGCTGGTTTGTAGGAAAGTGCGGCATCGGTCCCTAGTGGGTGAGCTGCCGGTGGGCGACAGGTTGTTGAGGGAAGTAGAGTCTCTGGTAGAGTACAAGCTTTTATCAAACTAGGTCTCAGAGTTACTAACAGATTGGAAACGGTGTAATCAGTGTGTGTCTCAGCACTTTCTCCTGCCTTCTGTTTGTTTCCTTCTTTGGCAGGTGCAGAGATTTTTAGAAGAGGAGGTGTTTCCCCTGCTGAAACCCTACGAAAGTGTGATGAAGGTGAAAGCGGAGCTGTGTCTGTAGCTTCAGAAAGGAAAGAAAGGAAAAGTCATTGTTGGTCTTGTGAACTTCTGTTGCTGAGGCATGGATATAGTGTTGCTGGAGAGCCTGGTCTAAGTTCCAGAAGAATTGTGGCCTTAAATCAATACAGCACTTTTTCTCCCCACGGGGCTTTCGTGTCTGCTGAGTGTCACGGTGCAGAGGTGAAATCAGTGAACAGGCCATTGTTTCTCCAGCCACTCATGCAGACTCGCATGTAATGACTGGGAAAGCAGACACTCACTGCCATCGAGGCGAACCTGACTCACAGAGAGCCTGTGTGTGGAGGGTTCCCGAGGTGGTCTGTACATTTTTATAGGAGCAGAAAGCCTCATCTTTCTCCTGCGGGGAGCGCCTGGTGAGCTTAAATTGCCAGCTTTGTGGTTAGCAGTCCAGTGCTTAACCTACAGCACCACCAGGATTTCCTGGTTCTCCTGAAGGAGAATTTGATCTTGGTCTAGCAGAACTCAGTGATTCAGTATAGTGGGCACCTTGCTACCATTCTATTGATAATAGTAAGTGATAACATTTGGAATTGCAGTGAAACACAAAAGTAATGAGCTCATTAGACCGACTTGGCTCAAGTTGTGGCTCATTTTATCTTTTGGTAAGGTTTGTACAATTTAGTAAGTCTATGGGAAAATTCAATTATCTTTCCATTCCATTTTTTTCCCCCCAATTTTTAAATTTTCTGTTGTGAATTGTGTGATAGTTTACATGGGAGAACATTGGCTTTACACACGTGTTTCATTGCAGTGATTACAAATCTCCTCCGTGCATCATCATTCAACAGTATTTGCTTCTATTTCCTCTATGTTTTGTGGGGAGAAGGGAACGGGCAGGGCAGGGGAGATGTGCACAAAAACACTCCGGAATATATAATAATTTAAACAACCAAAGGGCACATTCTGCAAGTCTGCCTCCTGGCCTCCAGCACACAGCCTTTTCCGTTTCCATGAGTCTAGAGTCCTCAGCTGCTCCCTCTCTCCATGTCCTCATCTCTGCCTCCATCTCTGGTGTCGCTGCTTCTCTGGATAGGGTCGCGCATTCCGCTTGTGCTCTTCTCCCTTGATGGTCCTAGAGTCCTCGGTTTCTGGACTGTGAGATGAACTTCGTTCCATTCCATTTTTCTGCAAACTTTTGAAGCGCCTGTGTCTACATGCTAATTGCTTAAACTGATTTCGTCCAGATATTGATCTTGGTTCTTTGGAGTAAGCATGGACCTGCTGCGGCTGATTGAACCAGCTGTTGCCGGAGTGGGGTGATGAATTCACCACCACCTGGAAGGAGAATGCTAGTGTTAAACCACTCTCAGCCCTTGTTCTTAGCCGTGTACAAAATTGTAAGTTTAGATGAACGTAAAGGAATGTTGTTTATTCGATTTGTAGATGGCCGAACCTAGGAGAATTAACCAGTATGTTTGGTTTAATAACCAAGATTTCATCTGACGTAAACTGGCCAAAACTAAAGAGGAAAAAAAACATTAGTAAGGATAAATGCAAATAAGTTTACCTTTAACTCAGCTATGAGCCTGAAGTAGGGGCAGTAAGTAAGACACTGGTTTTAGAGCGAGTTAGTGGGTAACATAACCCACAAAACCAAAGCTGGTGCTATCAAGTCGATTCCTACTGAGCACGGAGGAGAACTGCCCTGTTCCCCAGGCTGTAAATCTTTACAGAAGCAGACTGCCACATCTTTCCTGTGGAGCAGCTGGTATGTTTGAACCACTGACCTTTCCTTTATCAGCCGAGCTCTTAACCTCAGCACCACCAGGGTTCCTCAGTGGTAGCTTAGTGTCCAGAATAACCACCAGAGTCTTCCTGCTCCACAGTCAGCAACTGTGGGTTCAGTTTTGGACACCCAGTCACAGAAACCAGGGATAGACTGAGCCAGCCCCTGAAGAACTCTATCCAGTATCCGAGAAAACTTGTCCCGGCTTCAGATATTGTTGTGTGTGTGTGTGTGGGGGGGTGACTATCAGGGAGAGTTAGGGGTCAGACTGTGACCTCTCCCAGTGGGTCACACACAAGCTGGAAGACTGAATTGTTGTCAGGAAAGGAGTGAGGAGAGACTGAATTGTCTGTAATCAAAACTACAGCGAAAGGGAGTTCATTACCATCCGGTGGATTCTGACTCAGGAACCCCATAGCACAGGGCAGAACTGTCACCTTGACAAGCAGATGGCCACAGCTTTCTCCCTCAGAGCTGAAGGGCTTAAATGGGTGTGGCATTTGAGCCCTTCAACCACTGTACCAGCAGGACTCACTTTAAAATAGGGGGAGGCTGTCTGTCCTCCAAACCAGACTCAGGATGAAAGGCAATTTGGCTGCGGCATCTGTTACCTCATTGATTGCCAGGGTTGATTGGGCTGATCTGTCTGTCTAGGTAGGTGTGTGTGTGTTCCCTACCCCCACCCCCACCCTCATCCATGTGCATCCCTCCCAGCGCTGCCTGCTCAGTTGAAGAGGACAACCTTCCCTGAAAAAGGAGGACCGTCCTTTGGTCATGGGGGACAATTTGCTGTGCTCCCTTACTGAAAACTGCAAACAAGCTCCCAAATACAGTTTACTGCAGCAAGGAGGCGTGGGTGAGACAGCCAAATGAGATCCCAACTCGAACAGAAACACTGTGCTTACGCCCTCTATTCCTCTCATATAGAAGTCTTAATAAGGAATGCCTGAAACCTCTAGCTTTGGCCCAAGGAATTGAGTTGTAGGGCTCTGAGTGAGCTTTGTGTCTTACTGCCCTCTGTGGCCTGGACCTCAGACAAAGCAGCTACTAGTGGTGGGTGTACTTGTAACCTGAGAATGTCCATTACAGACCTGACATTGGGTATATCAGATACCATGGATTGTAGGCCATACATTTCCTCATAGAAAATAAGGAAACCAGATAAACTGCCTTTGCTCTGACAGTTGTGCAGCTAGATTTATAGTCCCTAGAGATTAGTGGCTTGGCCCATGTTGGTTCCTGAGCTATTAGAAAGGGTGAGTTTGGATGCAGTTTTTCCCTTTCTTCCTCTTCCCATTCCCTTTTGTTTGTATACTTACATGCTTGTGATTATAAGGAGCCCTGGTGGTGCAGTGGTTAAGCACACCAAAAGGTTGTGGCATTCTTTTTCCATAGATTGTGAAGTGCCATCGAGTTGGTTTTGACTCACTGACCCTGTGTAGGGTTTCCCAGGAGCGGCAGCTAAGTTTGAACCACTGACCTTGAGGTCCAGTGCTTATCCTACAGCACCATACCAAATGAGATCCCAACTTGAACAGAAACAATGTGCTTCCTCCCTCTGTTTTTCCTCTCATATAGAAGTCTTTTAAAGGAATACCTGAAACCTCTAGTGTTGGAAACTCTGGGGAGCAGTTGACTCTGCTATAGGGTCGCTATGAGTTGGAATCAACTCTGGCAATTTTACGTGTTACTTGTAATCGGTTCTTACTCTGCCATGTAGCATTTGAAAGGCAGGCAGAAGGACTACAGGTTGTCCGATTAGAGTGTACTGCCTTCTCTCAGTTTCAAAGAAATGCATAGCCAGTGATACTGCAGGGTCTAAACCCCCCAGACAACCCGCTTTCTGCTGCGCTCCACACACACCTAGGTACTTGCTGTCTCCCTACAGCTAATGCCGGTTGTTATTAAAGAACCAGGAGAGTCTGATGTCTGTAAACTAGTCCTTAAACGGCGCACAAAGGTGAGCTACCTCCACAATGGCTGGATGTGGGAGTTGGGCGAGATTAACATAGCACAGCACAGGCTCAGACCCCGAGAAGAAGGTACTCAGAAGATGTCACTTCCTGTCTAAGACCCGAGAACGCTGGGTGAGGGAACAGCCTCAGGACGCTAGTGTTTGGGTTGCTGTGGGAATGTGAACTAAATGGAACAGCGGACTGAGCCAACACTAAAACTCAGTAGGACAGAATATTAAATAGACATATTTATGACTCAGGCTTGTTCATTATTGAGCCCTGATGTAGCGCTGTAGGATAAACACTGGATGGCTAACCACAGGTCGGCAGTTCAAACACGACAACTGCTCTTGGAAACCCTCCCCAGGGTCACTGAGTTAGAACCAACTTAGCAGCATCCAACAGCTTTACCAGAGATGGGGTCTAACAGGCACATCATTTAGCTCATAAATTTAGCTGATTCTGGATGTAAATAGAAATGGACATGGTGTTTTGTGTCTGCTCTCTGGATCTGGTAACCTTGTCTCAGTAAATTCTGTGTACAGAGACCACAGGTTTCTGTAAACAAAAGATTTAAGTGGTATGGGTGGTGGTTTGCTTTCATGTTAACTACCTTTGAGTTGGTTCCAACTCAGTGACCCTGTGTAGCGTTTCCAAGGAGCAGCCTGGTGGGTTTGAACCGTCATCCTTGTGGTTGGTAGTCCTACAGAGCCACACCAAGACTATGAAGTTCATAGAAAGTTCAAATTCCAGAAGAAACTGAGGCAGTATCTAGCTAACACCCCAGCATCAGTAATAGGGACCATCTGTGGATGACTACTGGGACACAGGTCAAATGATTTGGGCTCTCTTGTGGATGAAAACAAATAGAAGGCCTTCCTGATCCTTTGTCAGATGAAGGCCCTTTGGCCTCAGAAGAGCCATGGTGGATTGGGCCTTACTGATCTGACTTGTCTTACTTGGTTCTGTAAGTTCCCTGTATCTGTGTTGTCAGACCTTCCTATTCTATCCACCACAAGTGGGGCAGAAATTGTGGTTCGATAGCATTCCAGCCTAGGATGGAGTGGAAGGAACTACTGTAGACCCCCACCCCCACAAGGGAATTCTAAGGCAATATGGGGTTGCTGTGGCACTGTGGGCTAATGCGTCAGACTGCAAAGTTGTTAGAATTGCAAGGTCAAGTTCAAGCTCACCAGGTGCTCCTTGGAAACCCTATGCAGGGTCAATATGGGTTGGAATCAACAGCACTTAACAACAACCCTATACAGGGTTGTTACGGGTTGGAACCGACGGTGCTTAACAACACTGAAGAGTGGTGCTCAGGCCACCGTA